CGAGCGCTTGCTTCCACGTGAGACCTTGATATGCCGCCGGGAATGATATGTGTGCACAAAGAGAGAGCATTAACTCTGCCACAATACATTCCGGGCTCGACGGAGGATGTGAGGATCACAGAATCGAATAGTATAGCAGATATTCTTGCGACGAGCGCTTAGACATTGACACAGAACACAGAAGAAACGACGTATTCACTGACGAATCTCTTCTGAAAGGGTCCTAACCTCCTTGCCTTGCGCAGGGTATGCTCCGAGGCTTCAGATTTAGAGGACTGCGGATGCCTAAAGCGATGAGTGACATTCGTGAAGGGAAGACATGAGGAGGGGTGGACCTACAAAGTTCAAACCCTTGTTACCCCACGGGACTCGAAGCAATCGAGATGTCGTCATCCAGCGTCAACCAGAAAGTATACAAAAGTATACTGCGGCACCGAAGTCGAAGTCCCAGTCGCCTCTCGCTAGCCCGCCCGTAGATAAGTAAGTGAGCGATCGAAACATGGAGAGCTTGTTTCTCCGGAAGTCAAGGCCCGAACACCGGGAATGTATGTGGGTGTGTGCCCAGAGACAAGTATGTGTCTCGTGTGTCGTGTGGCATGGCATGCCATAGGTTCTGGGCCTCGGAATAAGTAGTATGTCGTTATGCATCTTCTTAAACTTCTTCTTGGTCCACCCATACACATAAACGTCGCTTTGGAGATCCCGGTGGATGTCATATGGTGGTCACACGAGCTCCATCCGGATTGTAAGAGCACACCGTAAGAAGAGTGAACCCCAAGCGAATAGGAACATGTGCTGTAATCAAGCTCAATCCTAAGTTCTGAACTTCGTTGTATGCTGGGCATCGAGATGTGCACGTTAGCGCAGGTAGGGGAGAGTACGTTATCGAATACCACGAGGATCGATAAAACGGACGCGTGTCTGTGACTCGGATTTATGTCTAGTACCCGTCTAAATATCACTTTTCCGAGTCGCAAGACCTAGAATTAGGCCGCGGCTTGACGAGCGTTTGTTTTTCACGTGTATTATCGGTATGCCGGGACGATTAGCATGGTATGCCTGAGGATCACGGGCATTCGGGCTGGGACGGTATTGTAGGAAATGATGGATAATGGAATTGAATCATAAGCGCCGGGAAGGATGTAAGCGACACAACAGCATATTTACTCACGTATCTACGCACGCATAAACGCTGCAGGGTATCGGTAACGTAGGAACTCGCAGATATTCGGGCTGAGGCGGTATCGTGGAAAGGAGATTCAGCGATAAGCGCTGAGACGATGTGAAAGACGCCCGCAAAAGAATAATTGTTTCTATTATAGCCTCAAAATTGATTAATGAACAGAAGGTGGTCGAAAATGGGGGCCTACGAGTGCTTGTTATTATTATAGGGTATCGATGCGTAGCAAGCTGGGTATTCATCTGTAATCGGGATATAGCAAACCGCAAACCGCAGAAGAGATGTTACTCGGAGACGCCGTCAACGCCGAGCGTTATGATGAACCACTCAAAAACAGTGGAAAGGTATCAGAAGGTTATGTGAAGTGAACACAACAACGGATTTATTGGCGGTTCTCCGGTATGGTACGGGGAAGATATTAGCCAATGGTCATCTTTCGTTCGTATCATGAGCGCTACAAGAAATGAAGAGATTAATTAATGAAGAAAAATAAATGAAGGACCCACAAGTGCTTATTACCCCGGTGAAATCAAATCGGAGGGTATCGTGGACATTAAATACTGTGGTCCTGGCGCGGACGTTTGAATGACTGGGGTAAGTGATATTAATGAAGTGTCGATGTTTGAGATATCGCTTCTACTTTGAAGAGGTAAGCGATGGTGAATCCGTATTTGACGGGATAAATGCGACGTAAAGACGCTGGGACAGGCGGCGTCAAAAGGCTCAAAGATGTTGACAGACGGAATATTGAGAAATCTGCTCGGACAAGCCGGAGTCATCGCTTAGAACGGCCGAAGATGGTGATGATTGACCTACAAGCGCCTGATACCCCACGATGCCTCAACGATCATGCGAGTCGCATCAGAGGCGCTATTGTTTTCGTGCGGAACCGGAAAGGATGAATAGAGCATCATCAAGCGTTACTCAAGCGCATAATCAAGCTTTGATGGCGATATCCGCTCAGAGAAAAGTGAATTCGCGTCATGCGTCATCAGACTCCGAAATCGGGGTGATACGGCGAGTGGAACAATACCAACCGAAGAATATAAAAAGGATGGATAAATAAAGAGACGCTTTTACTCACCCAATCCCGGTACGGATTGAGGTAACGTCAGGATCTGTTGTGTGTATCTGGGCCGCTGTGGAAGCACCGGAGCTTGGAGAGATGGTAGTGATTAATTAACGAAGTCCACAGAAGATGAAGGACCTACAAGCGCCTGTTTAAGCATCGCCTGAGTGAGCCAGGTACACTTAGCCTCCGATAACGTACTTGGGGACTCTTTCCGAGTCAAGCAGGGAAGTTACATCATCTTGGCCTGAGACGGCGATCTAGGAAAGAAGACCCAAGCCGGACTTGCAGATACTCCTCCCGTCCCCAGGCCGGTAACGTGAGACCTGGAATTCGGGGGCTTTTGCAGTAGCCCCGTCCGACGGAGACCCTGCTGGTAAATTTGGAGTCACTGCCCCCAGCGAGTCTAATCCACACAAGTACAGTACGCTGAGAGACAGCTGTATGAGGGCAAGCTGTAAAATGCAGCGCGTCAAGAGCTGCGGAGTGCGAATCTAATCTGCTTCCGCGGGGAGGCATATGCCGGGCACGTGCCGTGTAGATATCGAAGGGTCACAGCCGAGATCGCATTTTTGCAACAGAACCGCCTCAAGGCAATTGTTTCCACGCAACCTTGACTGGATATATATACCTCCGCCGTCTCTCCTTTTATCTTATTGTTCTCCGCCCTCTCTTTCTCTCTCATGACGGAATACGACTACTCACCCGAGGCTCAGGAGCGCTGGCAGGCGAATATGCGCCGTATCTCCCGCTGGGTCGACGATGCTGAGGCTCATGCTTCCGAGTTCAAGTCACCCTTTGTTCCACGCTCCGATGTTGGAGACGACGACGTTCCACCTCGACCTGTACTCACCCGGGGGATGTCAACGAGCAAGCGAGTACCCACACCACTGTACGCTCCAGTGCCGGGCCCCATGCCGCCACACAGCCATGGTCCTGCGCCGCCTCCTCCTCGTCCTCCACAAGTCCCACTCCACGGCCCGGCTCCTCCTCCGTCCCATTCGCGCCATTCCCCTACTCGCCATTCCTCGACTCGTCGTTCGTCATCACATCCTCCGCACTCAAAACACCGTTCCGGGTCGTATTATGTCTCGCCAACGCCTACGCCACCTCCAGTGCCTTATTATCCGGGCTATAATAACCCGTATTACCAACCGCGGCCATCTCCATACGCTCCTCCTCCTCCACCCCAACCGCAGTACTACCGCAGCGGCAATGTAGCCTACGCCCCACCACCGGGAGGATACGTAGTAATCCCCAACAAAGGTCGTTCCTCAAAAGTAGTAGTGAGTATTATCCTTGTCGTCTTTCTCCGCGATCTAACATTCAATTCGAGTAGTCTTCTGTCCAGCCGGTAGTCTTTTCCACGTCTTCGTCGACAGACTCCGAGCCTCAGCCGCCACCCCACCGTCAGCCCCACTCTGGCTCCTTCCTGCAGAAGGTGTTCCCCTTTAATCATAACCGTCGCGAAAGCCCTGCCCCCGCTGTGTACGATCATCAGCGCGAACACCGCCCGCACCACCATCACCACCACCACCATCATCGGCATACATCATAACCTCTCTCTCTTCTTATTTGGGTTTCTTCGCATCGCATCGATACTATATAAATGGACGATTCGTATAGTATATAAATCTTATAGGTAATGCGTACTGGATGTCTTTCATTATTTCGGGCTTTGTAAATAATATAGACGTCCCGACTTCGGGGGGCGTAACGTCGTTCCAGATCCTTCATTGCCAATATCGTGACCTGGGCGCATCGCATGCTGAAATGCTTGCCCGCATTCCTCCGCCCGCTAGCATATGCAAGTGGCGATGGTTGGCCCTACCATTCCAGGGCAGTCCGTTTTTGCCCGACAAAAGCGGCTGAAGCATAACGCAGAGATGCAAAGGAGCATAAACCCTCATTCGACTTGGAAGTAGACTATTCTTGGCACGAGCCAACCGCACTCTTATTTACACACCGACATTGGCGCTAGAATTTTCCTATTCACGATTTCGTTACACATACACGCGCTCTTTTGTACATAACATTTGGGATATCACAATAAGAAGTGGAACTATTGGTGGTACTAAATGGGGTTTTATCATCAGACTCGGGGTTGATCAACAATGCGGGGAAGGGTACAACGTACCAATTTAGATGAGTGGGGGAAACCGGTTCTTGGAATGCGACGTGAACGAATAAATAATTGACCGGTGGATGGGGAGTGGGAAAGTGTGGGGATGGATGGATGGGTATGAAAGCCCTGAAAGAAGAGGCTCGGTTAGTAGGTTGGAAGCGACTGCGAGATAGTCGACTAACCTTTTAGCGGTGCTTCTTGCCTTCGCCAGTAGCGATGAGAACGACGGCCCAGATATTGCGCGTTATCTCAGACATGGCTCTACACCAAACCCATCATCCATCAGTACACACACACCCCACCAATCAAAAAAAAAACCCCAAACACGAACCTCGTAAAGTGCGAAAAGATGTATACAGAACTCGAAGGGAGGATTTGATGCTTGATGCTCCCTCCCCCCCATCGAAACACCACTCTTTATATATCCATACCATAGAACGACCGAGAAAGGGCTCGAGCGAGAACCCACCCACATCCAAATTACGAGCAGCGGTGTAGCAGTTCTAGAGCATCGTTCGATGTGCGGTGGGGTCAAGTGGACAAGTGGGGGCTCGGGGGGGACCGGAGGATGGGTCTAGACCGGGAGTTGAAAACGGATGTAAAGCAGGAATAAGACATAGACTGTTGGCCTAATAGCTCAGCTGCTTAGAGCGTCATCATGGCATTGTGCATTCGCTCGGTGTGTGTGTTGACACGGAAGTCTCGGGTTCGATCCCCGCCCTGGCCACTGATAATGTCAATATTACGTTTTTGCTTCCAATTCGTTCAACTAGGGCCGGGCCAGGCTCGCCGCTCGAGCCTACAGTGCATGCTGCGCATTGGATGGAACGTATGATGGGCATCTGAATAAATTCTTTTGCATCTGCAAGTCCCTTGGTCTGTTTGTGTCCTGCGGTTTATTCGCTTGTGTAGAGTGCATATCTCCGTGCCCAGTTTCGGCCCCGGGAATCGACAGGGAATTATAACCTATTCGTCAAGAGGTCCCTTTTCTACGTTTTTTTTCAAACGCTGGTGCCATAAAAAGCATTTCAAGCCGGTCCAGAGAAATGAGTATATATTGATAGACATGGCTTTCTTCAATATATGCTACCACAAAACCAAATTGCTTCGATCCCTTCTTTAGCCTATCGGAATAGCATGTCGGTTTTTTGTGTTTTTATGTTAGTTTCGTCCATACAGCAACAGAGTGGCATTCCGCTTCAAGGCTCTCGTTCCAGGGTCCTGTATTTCGGATTCGGTTCTGTCCCTTTAGTAAAATGTATGCGCCATTCTCATATCAACTCCGCACTTGGTTCCCTGTGACCGCCTCTGAGTCCAAAGTGCTACTAGCTCAGCTGTTTGGAGCGTTGCGGATAATAGTATGCATTTGCTTGGCGTGTCTCCATGCGAAGGTCCTGGGTTCAATTCCCTCCCATTGGCTATAACTCGATGCGAAAGAGTTAAATTTTGCTTCCAATTTGTTCAACAGTCAACAGTCAACCTGGGGCTGGCCAGGCTGTTACCTGTAGCTTTGGCTTGTTACTTGTAGCTCGAGTCATAATGCACGGTTTCATTTCTGTACATTGAATAGAATTCACCAGCAACTTATGAAGGGGATTTGAATGGATTTGCAAGTCCCTTGGTCTGTTTCTGTCGGATGGTTTATTCGCTTGCGGAGAGTGCATACCTCCCTGCCCGGTTTCGGCCCTGGGCATCGATAGGGAATTATATCCTATTCGTGTATAGGACGCTTTTCTACGTTTCTTCCGACGCTGGTACGGTAAACTGTCTCTTAAGCCAGTACGAAGAAGTGAGTATATCTTGATAGGTATGACTTTCTTCAATATATGTTACCGCAGAACAAATTTGATTCGATCCCTACTTCAGCATATCGGAATAGTAAGTTCCGTTTTTGGAGGGCTCGTAGGTTACTTTCATCCAGCAGAGTGATTTCCACTTTGAAGGGTCTCTTTCCAGGGTCCTGTATTTCGGAGATTCTCTCCCTTCAGTAATGAGTACGTGTCCGAATCCTTATATTAATTCCGGACTTAGCTTGGTCCTAGATTCTGACCGAGTCCAAAGTGTAATGTCAGTCAAATTTGAATCGACGGCGAAGCGTCAATCGTCACGTTAGATAGCGAGAGAGCTTTTCCAACCGTGTTTTATGTCTCTACCATTTATGTGACCGAGAGCCAATGACCATGTGGGTTTTTCGCTTCACCGGGGACAGAATATGCGTTGCTGTAGTCGACTTGGTTAGGTGTCACACTAAAGATTAGATCTTGGCACTGGTAATAGGTAATAGACAGACCGAGTGTTCTTTGATTAGGAGACCTTTCTTGACATCCAAGCCCCAGCGGAGGTTCCGCATGAACATTCGATACAAAGGCAGCATGAGACGGGACTTAGGCTGCAACCCCCGTCAGCCGTTCATGAGATTCCGGGTAAATTGGTCGTTTTTACTGGAAAAAGTTTAGCTCCTTGATAGAGATTCTGATCTCCTGGGACCTGGAAGGCGTAACACTGCTCCCTTTCAATTACTCATTCGTGGCGAGATCTGCTGAAAGGGCACATTAGACGATCAATCATAAACCTGACGTTGTTTGCACACGATAGCTCACGTCGGATGGTTCATCACAGTTCCGTTCGGAGAAGTACAGGACACTAGCCTGAGAAGTTCGACGAGAATGGTAAAATCGAGGGCGCAGAGGTGGTTCTGGATGCAACGCTGTTGGTGAAAACAGCTCGTGGACAAGGTGGAAAATGCAATTATGGTCGTCGTCCTTCACAGAGAGCAATAAAATACTGTGGACTTCTTGCCTCTTAGAAGACGGATACACTGATATGGAAGGATATGATACAAGCCAAGGGGCAAAATCAAACGTCCCGTCTTCTTCGGAGTGATGTCAATATCCGTCTTCTTTTGCTACCCCATTGGTTACGACGTTTGCGTCGTTCAAGAACTCCACGGTGACAGATTGATTGTTCACCATTCTCTTTGGATAGGGAACTACGGGTCTGCATTGTGTCTATCCAATTGTACAGTCTGTCGCTTGGTCCAGGGAGTACCGTGTGGCCTCAAGCTTCTAGCTCTGAATAGAATCTTGCAGCTGTCACCGTTATAGTGTGTAGGCGAAACCTCCGTGTCGTTATTGCAGTGCAGGCCACATGTGTTAAGAATCAGGGTATTTTGAATGATGCACGAGGTCATAAATGCTCGAGTAAAACACAAGTCGTGAGCCAGGATGTCCCTGAGCTGATTTCCAGCCACCAAGAGTGATGCGTAAGGGTGTAGTTAACGGTGGCGTCAGCAAGCACTGGGCGTATCTAATTAGACTTCTGACAAAGGCTAGGCATAGTCAGGAAGTGATTGATTAGGCAAGCGTTGGGCGTAACCGATCAAATATGCTTAATCACACAGTTAAGTGGACATGGAAGAGTAGTAAGATTAGAATGCTATATTGATAGTACAGACAGTATTTTTATACTAGAGGATTCAAGTCATTAATATTCTACAATATTTTGCTACCTTCTAGTATCTACAAGAATAAATGAAAAGGTCAGGGAAGTTCCCTTCGACTTGAAAACTTGAAATGAGCGATAATGCTCCAGCTGCTCGCTCGGATTTTAGCAGGGAACCCTCGCCAACACGCGAGGGTTATCGTTGCTTATCTCGCTATTAAGCTACTCTTTACGCCCAATGGAAATGATACTATGTAGCAATCGTGGCCAAGGAGAAGAGCAGGCTTCCTGGCCTGATAAACGATGGTCCTGACGTGAACCATATGTGACACCGGATCTTCCATCTTCCCTCTATCATTTTGAGGTCCGTCCGGTATAAATATTCCAGTGGAAGAGCCGCTATTCATTGTCAAGAGCGACCTGTATTTCCCCGATTTTTCCTCACAATATGGTCCTTGAATCTGGCGTAGTGTTTCGCATCCCCGAAACTACTACTAGCTGGCCTTGGCCTCGAAAAATCAATCCTCATTATGAAGAAGTGAAGGCCGAATCTGAAGCATGGTTTCGTTCGTTCGAAGCGTTTACTCCGGAAGCCCAACGGTAGGCCCTAGTGCTTATTTTGAGTTACGAAAGCTGAGGGTGTTTAGCGCATTTGATCTCTGTGACTACAGTGATTGAAGTTTCTTGTCAGCGGTGACTTGTGCTAACCTCCCTGTTCCAGGTTTACTGGCTTCATTATCGCACACGACCGCAACCAAAGGTACGAGGCGTTTTCCTTCATACATACCCAGTATAACTTAAGCCGCGTAGAACAACTGCGCACTGCATGCGACTTGATGAACTTGTTCTTCATTTTCGATGAGTACACGGATAACGAAACACCCGATGTAGTCCGTCAATATGCTGAGATTGTCAAGGATGCGCTTAGAGACCCCTTCAAACCACGACCCGACAATGAAGTTGTTCTTGGAGCTGTTGCACAGTAGTCCAACTCTTCGCGTTGACTTGTTCCCCTAATTGCAATTCTCGAACACAGGTTTTGGGCTCTTGGCATCAAGACATCGAGCATCACTTCTCAGAAACGTGTCGTCGAAACTTTCGGACGTTACATGGACTCTGTAGTCTCACAATCAGAGGATCGCCAGCAGTGCTATTCCCGGAATGTCGAAGATTATCTTAAAATCCGTCGACTTACCATTGGAACCGACCCGTCCTATGCGATGCTAGAGCTCGGATATGATCTGCCCAACGAGGTGTTTTATCATCCAACCGTTGTCAATCTGAGACGTTTGGCTTGTGAAATGATAATGCTTGACAACGTAAGGCCTTCCGCTGTTAGTAGAGTCGGGACGCTTAACAGTCCTCCGGATCTCGCTTCGTATAATAAGGAACAGGCATCGGAGGAATTTCCTCATAATATCTTGGTTTGTGTCATGAACGAGCGGAAAGTCGATCTCGCTAGTGCTCTATTGTGGGTGGAAGATTTTCACCACTCGATCAGTGCCAAATTTCTAAGGTTATGGGAGGAGATACCGACTTGGGGACCTGGCATAGATGATATTGCATCCCTTTACCTTGAAGGTATTGCGAACTCGGTCCGTTCTAATGATTGCTGGAATTTCGAAAGTGTGCGGTACTTTGGGGCGAATGGTAAAGCCATTCAACAGCACAGAATGGTCACTCTGATGCCTAAACGGCTTACAATGGATCAACCACTTCTGATACACGCGCAACAATGATCCGTTATATTTTTTACCTATCGCGTTATGTATTTCCCTATGTCTGGGTTTACGTTAGATTTGCCTGGATATGTTGTGATTAGGTACTTACAATGACCGACAGTTGACGCGATACCGAGCAGTGAAGCGGGGTTTATTATGACGAACGTACGGACCCTACAAGTCATCGTACCTATGAAAAGAGCCGCATGACAGTGGCTCGATATTTATCCGTCGTGAATGTCAACAGTGAAGAAAATTCAGTGAACTGCGCTAGCTTTCGTTGCGCTGATGGCCATTCTGACCACGAGGTCGTTTCCAAGCTTATTCCTCGAGCAGTGGTGTTGGGAGAATAGTTGGGCCCAAATTCGTTGCGAAGTTGACTGTACAGATATAGAGTCAGTCAAGTTGGCCATGGGCGATAGACAGAACATTTATTTGTGGCTTTTCCCAGGACTTCCATGAAGGATCGATCTTATATAGGGGTTTTAACTTTCGGGCGACGGTCTTTACTTCTTCACGAACTGAGTTCATCCGGAAGATATATCATTGCCTCCTCGAGACATAA